CAGTGATGGTCACCTTTTGGTGGATACAGCTACTCTCTGCAAGCCAATATGACATTAATCCTTCATTTTTGATGTAGAATCACATGTACACTACACCATTTGTTTAGTGGACTCTTATACTGCAAAACTTTCTCACTATTAGCAACCTTCTATGCAACTCCACTTGTTTGTCCTAGCGCTTTTCTCCTCTAATCAACTGCTGCCTCTTTTTCGTCTAGGTCATCCGTGAAAACCAGGTGGCGGTGGTGGTTGGAGAAACTGGTTCTGGAAAGACAACACAACTGACCCAGGTTTGTTCAAACTGATATCACTCACCATTATTACCTTACATTTGCTAGACTTCCGCTTGTGATTGGAGTGTTATTCATCTAAACTTTTTGTTCATTGTCTGCAGTATCTGCATGAAGATGGATATACAATAAATGGAATTGTTGGCTGCACCCAGCCCAGACGTGTAGCGGCTATGAGCGTGGCAAAACGAGTCAGTGAGGAGATGGAAACTGAGCTTGGTGATAGAGTTGGATATGCAATTCGTTTCGAAGATGTAACTGGGCCAAACACTGTTATTAAGGTAATTTTGTTATCAATTTGGGCATTTCTTAGCCCAAATGTATAGTGTTATTGCTCTTTGATTGCTTGTTAGGATACTTGTAATAGTATGATGTAAAACAACAGAAATTTATGAACTTAATCTCCAAGTGGGAAGTAGTTGGGGAATTGTGCATTTTGTTCTTTTCCAGTTTGTCATTTTTGCTTTTTGGACCGGTGCATTGGCAAAGCTGCTATGCTATTTGCTTTTGGATATATAGCTGTGTAGTTTAGGTTTTTTTTTTTTTTGTGTGGGTATGTTTAGCCTTTTAAATATCTATTTGCCAAATTATGAGGTCTAATTTTGTATATGATGCAGTACATGACTGATGGTGTGCTTCTCCGGGAGACACTGAAGGATTCTGACCTCGACAAATACCGGTATGGTTAATGCGTAGATGGTGATACTTAAGATTTCTATAGTTCTTCAACTATGCATGTGCCACCAGTTTTGGTGAGCAGAATGGTATCATTTACTTGCTTCATTCTTGATTTTACAGTGTTGTTGTAATGGATGAAGCACATGAGCGATCACTAAGTACTGACGTACTTTTTGGGATCCTTAAGAAAGTTGTTGCAAGACGTCGTGATTTTAAGCTTATTGTGACATCAGCCACTCTTAATGCTCAAAAGTTCTCAAATTTCTTCGGGAGGTAATTTTAATTTGTACCAACTAGGTTCTAATCATTTTCATTTTTGCTACTCTCTCTCTCTCTCTCTAACATGATCATTCTTTTTGTGTTGTCGCAGTGTTCCAATATTCTACATTCCTGGAAGGACATTTCCTGTCCAAACATTGTACAGTAAATCTCCGTGTGAAGATTATGTTGAGGCTGCAGTTAAGCAGGCTATGACCATCCACATTACAAGTGCACCTGGTGACATACTGATCTTTATGACTGGTCAAGATGAGATTGAGGCGACCTGTTATGCCCTTTCAGAACGTATGGAACAGCTCGTCTCTTCAACGAAGCAAGTCCCCAAGCTCTTAATTCTTCCTATATACTCACAGCTGCCAGCTGACTTGCAAGCAAAAATCTTTGATAAAGCTGAAGATGGAGCACGAAAATGTATTGTTGCCACGAATATTGCAGAGACCTCTCTGACAGTGGATGGAATTTTTTATGTCATAGACACGGGCTATGGTAAAATGAAGGTATACAACCCTCGGATGGGTATGGATGCTCTCCAAGTCTTCCCTGTTAGCCGTGCTGCTGCTGATCAGCGTGCTGGACGTGCTGGTAGAACTGGGCCTGGCACTTGTTATCGACTGTATACAGAGAGTTCATACCAAAACGAGATGTTGCCAAGTCCTGTGCCAGAAATTCAGAGGACCAATCTAGGCAACGTGGTGTTGTTGCTCAAGTCTCTCAAAATCGAGAACTTGTTGGATTTTGATTTTATGGACCCTCCTCCCCAAGACAATATTCTTAACTCCATGTACCAATTATGGGTTTTAGGTGCACTTGATAATGTGGGGAACCTTACTGACCTTGGATGGAAGATGGTGGAGTTCCCACTAGACCCTCCCCTCGCAAAAATGTTGCTTATTGGCGAACAACTTGAATGTATGAATGAGGTTCTGACAATTGTCTCAATGCTTTCTGTGCCATCTGTCTTCTTTAGGCCCAAGGACAGGGCAGAGGAGAGTGATGCTGCAAGGGAGAAGTTCTTTGTGCCGGAATCAGACCACCTTACTCTTCTTAATGTTTACCAGCAGTGGAAAGCAAATCAATATCGAGGTGATTGGTGCAATGATCACTTTTTGCATGTCAAGGGGTTACGCAAAGCTAGAGAGGTGAGGTCCCAGTTGCTGGACATTCTCAAGACACTGAAAATTCCTCTCACTTCTTGTGATCCTGATTGGGACATTGTCCGAAAGGCCATTTGTTCTGCGTATTTCCATAATGCCGCAAGGCTAAAGGGAGTTGGGGAGTATGTCAATTGTAGGAATGGAATGCCATGCCACCTGCATCCAAGTAGTGCCCTATATGGTTTGGGTTACACTCCTGATTATGTGGTTTATCATGAGTTAATTTTGACCACAAAGGAGTACATGCAATGTGTGACAGCAGTGGAGCCTCAGTGGTTGGCTGAGTTGGGACCTATGTTTTTCTCCGTCAAGGATTCTGATACATCACTTTTGGAACATAAAAAAAGACAGAAGGAAGAGAAAACTGTCATGGAGGAAGAGATGGAGAAGTTACGTCAGGTCCAAGCGGAGTTGGAAAGAGAGAACAAGGAGAAAGAGAGGCAAAAAAGGGCTAAGGAACAGCAGCAAGTTTCAATGCCAGGACTGAAACAAGGTTCTTCTACTTATCTCAGGCCTAAGAGGCTTGGTTTGTAATGCAACTTGTAAATGTGCTTGATATATAGTTGTTTGACGTAGTTTCATTGATTTTAAAGAAACTTCCTCTATTTCTGCCTCTGTAGTACTGAGCTGCAGTAATGTCTAGGCATCTAACAATTAGTTGCTTGATGCCATGATTTCTTTTGCCCTTGTATGCCACCAAATCATCATTTTGCTGATTTTTTTTACAACTATTTAAATATTTGAGGGATTAGCCATTATCGGTTGCATTTAAAGGGTTAATTTTTAGTGGATTAGTGGAAAAAGCTCTGGCTATATTTTCTGAAAGTCCCTGTATTAGGTCTCAATTTCTCCTCTACTCTAGTTCCCCGTTGGGTGCTGCTCAGACGTAGAGTTTGCGTTATCGTGTTCCATTTGTTCAAGAAATTCTTCTCCAATTACTTTGTATTCTGGGAAGAAAATGATGTTCCTTCATTGTTTCAGAACAAAATGATTTAGAGTTGTAGACTAACTGGTTTAGCAAAACTCGCTTGAACTTTTTCCATTCTTTCACCAATATTGACGAACATCTAGATCTCTCAATAATTCCAACATGATTGCTACAAAAAAAAAAAAAAAAAAGTCATGAAGATGTTTTGCTGGCCGAACCTTTGCATGCTATTTGGAGCGGAAGTTTTGTATTTTTGTTGTTAAATACAGAAACCTTAACCTCATTGCAATAATAGGAAACTTCCATACCATTTATCTAGTAAAGAAATCAGTACAAGTTAAACAGAATTTTCAAAATTTGCAATAAGTGGTCCATGCGAACTTAATTTTAGTGTATCAATGAGCAATATCAAGTAGTAAAAGGAACAAGAGTTAGTATTTTGGAAAAATAAGTTGGATTTGAAAAATGTGTAAATGCAAGAGGGATAATAAATATTGAGATAGTACGTCATGTATGCTAATCAGGTGTCTATTAGGTGGTGGTGAAAAAATCATTTTTCATCTTAAACATATGATTCTCTACCTTGTTTTCTGATTTGTATTAGTTTAAATTATAGTTACATCTCCAGCTATTGGACATGTTACATGGAGTAGTTTGCTATAAAATCAAGAATTAAACTGTGTATTGAATGAGTTAAATCCTTTGTTACACTCTTAGTGTTATGCTCTGTCACACCGTGTATTAATATTATGCGTGTTCTCAATCATCTATCAAACCATTAATAGATATTAGTGCGTGGAAACATATCACCTTTGTATATGGTGTAATACGAATATAACTCCAAATATATGTTGAAGGAAGAAGTTGATTTGTTTAGCTATTTATCTTGGCCTAGAGGTTGAGAATGTGTACGGAGAAATAGGGATGGCAATGGGTAGGATAAATTCGATACCTGTGAGTACTCGGCCTCATAGTTAATCAAATAAGATGACTGATGGATATACCGTTAGGGTTTGGTATTGATGAGAGGTAATTGACAGATAATCTAATAAAGTTTAGTAAGAGAACTCTAAAAACTCGGAACCTGGCGTACATAGATACATACAAACATATAATATCCTTAATAAAATGTTGAATTTCTCTCATATAGGTTGTATGACTCTACCAAAGTTTAAAATTTAACATGTTGTGTTGATTTAACATTATGCATGTATTAATTTTTCTGAATTGTTCAAATTAGTGGGTAGAAGTTACCCAATGAATAATCCGAACCCGGAAGTGAGAGGGTTTGATAATGAAACTTAAAATCCATAGAGTCACCCGAAAAAATTTGGTAAAAAACTAAGATATACAAGTAGGGTTTTGATAAGAAGGATTTTTTATGGTACTTGACCCGCTACCATCCTACCAGGGAAGAAATACTCCAATGCTATTGGTACTATCACATTATTAACTCACTAACGCCTCCCTCACCCAATAGTCTGTTTCCAAGATTGAGAGGGTGATTGAGGTTACGGCTACCGACATGCTAATAATGTGACAATCTTGGTGGTATCTGTTCCCGGAGACAGATATTTCACCAAATTTTTGTTAAAAAAGAAAAATTTCCCATGTGGTAAGATTCGGATTTCCAGACTGGAATGATTTAACTTCTTCAATGATCAAGCATTTATGGAAATAGAAATAATTTCAAGAATCTAATTCTACATATTAGTTTGCAGAAATAAATGCCACATACATCAGTCTAGCAAAACTATATCAAGACCAACATGCTCTACAATTTGGCTTTCTCTGTTAGCACTTAGCTCTAGCAAATCATTGTCACAGAAATTTTCTCCAGATTTACCAATCAAACGCTTTTCCAGCCATTTAAAACATCAAAAGGTGTGATATTAACAGCTTTCAGGAAACACATTGAATTCAATTGGGAACAGCAGCAACTAAATTTTGGATTTATCAGAAGACGTTGGTGCCTTTTCACCTACTGTAGAACTTTCAGCAACTTTAGAACTTGCTGATTCTTCAGCTTCAACGAGTTTGCGGAGTCTCTCTTGCAGAACTCGAACTCTGTCCTCAGTTCTTCTGAGCTTTCTCCATCTGTAGGCAAACCAGAGTCCAAATCCACCATACACAACAATATAAGAACCCCATACATAAGGGTAGGTTTCTGCATTTTCTTTGATTCTGCGATATTGTTGCTGAATCGCTCCCATCCAGCCAACATCAGCTTGGTTTGTTGCTTGTTGGTTATCTCCTGAATGTTGATGCTCTTCTTCCTTTCCCTGTGTAGCCATTATCTACAGAGTGGCTAGCTGGTGATGAATAAAATTACCAATATATCACAATGCGCCAGACCTTCTCTCTTGCAGCTGCAATAAAAGGGAAGCTACTAGTTAAATCAATTACTGTATCATAAATTTTTATAGACAGAGCTGTGTGCAAATTGAAAGCAAAATTAGCTGACTTTGCATGTGCAATAACACTTGAACAACTTCCAAGAAACCAATTCAGTTAAAATTCTTGGCCAACTTCAAGCATCTTACAAATAGGCACCAAGAATAATTACCAAGGAAATACTATTTTAAATTCCAAGAGTGCAAGCTAAATTTGAAAGAAGTTAATTAGTCGGTATCTTCAACTTTATCTCAGAAAGGTATAAGGGAAAAGTAAAAGAAGACAGGAGCAGATTCACAATATGCATAAAAAGATGAAAATTAGAGGAGATGGACGAAGAAGAGGGACTGGAGGACAAGCAGCCAAAGAGAGCATCTTCAGTAGTTTTTGATTCAAGACAGGAGTTTGAACATTTCTCCATTTCCGCTTAAGTCAAGATGATGCAGTTCAATTATTCACAATAGCTCCTCTCCTTTTTTTTTTTTTGGGTGCTGCAGTGGAGGACTATAGGTCCACTGCATGAAGTGGGTATGCCACCCAAATTACATCAGCTAACAGGATTTGCTTAAGATGAGTAGAAGGTTCTGGACATACTTGTAGACCTAGCTGACTATTAAGACTTTGCTTAGCTAACCAATCAGCAGCCATGTTCGGTTTCTCTCCTGCAATGCTCCATCTTACACTCCCACACTTGGTTCATCCAGCGTCTGATTGATTCACCTACCAATTGTATAAAGTGAGTCCAATGGTAGGTGATTGATTCACCTACCAATTGTATCCCAACTTGTGAGTCCAACACCAGAGTAATCTTTTTGTATCCCATATTCCATGCCATGGAGTGTCCGTAGTTCATCCCCCAAAGTTCTGCCACCGCATTGCTTTTTTATCCAGATTAACCATAAAGCCTGATAAATAACAGTTTTATTCATCCCTAATCACTCCACCCATTCCGGCATTTCCTGTGAAGAGGCCCCATCAACATCTCTTCACCTATCCGATTTGAGGTTTTCTCCATCCCACAAGACAAGTTTGTTAGGGTGGCTTCCCCGCTGATTTAACCAAGGCACAGTAGCGCTTTATACGGTTGCCAATCAATGCATAGAACTAGTATAAATAGCTAGCTACATCAAAGGCTCAATAAAAATAACTAAATTAATTAACAGCAGCATTTTTGAAAACACAAAACTTCAAAATACTTCCAGGCATGCTCCAAAAAAATAAAAAAACTACCGGGCATTTAAGAGGAACAGAAGCTGATCTATACTGCACAGATTTTGCGCAACACATAAAATGCTATACTAAACCATTTGTTACTACTGGTGTCCAAGACATCAAATTTTACTGTTACAACTATAAGATCAGTACCTATTGAACAAAAAGCTGGAAAAAAAAAAAAGCAAAGGCACTGCTCCTATCATCCTACAGTGACCAATCACAAAGTTTGTAAACTACAGTGACAAAAGTTAGCCACTTATGACTCCCAAATGGGACTTCCACAAAAGTCCGAGCAAATTCATCCAGTATCACAAAACCTTCTCCACCTACAGATCTCTAGCTTCCAACAGTACCTTTTGATCAAAAACTGCAACAAAATTTACACCATGAGTATTACTGGTACCATCCTACCACAAAAAATGATAAAGGTTGTAAACTACTACTACAAAAATAGCCACTTACGACCCTGCAATACACTTCTGCAGAAATACAAGCAAATTCCTCCGGTAAGCTTTTCTCCACTAGAGCTCTCTGGCCTTAACTTACCATCAAGCATTCAACTTCCAAATTAACTTTGAACCTCCTCTACTTAATGTAGCAAAATACTCGTTGCAGATGGCCTCCCTTCTCGCACCACAAACACCTTGATCCGATTTTCCTCCTAGTCCTCGTCATTCAAGAAGGGAGCAGTTCCCCTGCTCTCTCACATTAGATACAACCACCTTGATCATGCTTAATAATTCTGAATGAAAGGAAATGATACAGCTCCAAGTTCATCAATCTATTAATTCATATTTTTACCTCCCAACGCAATCTTATGCTCTGGATTTGTTTGATAAATGGCCAAAGCATTAATCATTTTACTTCAATATCACAATGCCATATTTTTATGTCATGTAAGAATATCACAATCGAAATTATCAAAATATCCAAAATCAAGATGATCGTAAAAAATACATTAATGAACCCCCAAAAAAAAAAGGCCAAGCAACTAAAAAAACTATACAAAATAGACCAGATTCAAGGGAAATGAAATTCAGCCTTCAGGGCCCAAATCAATTACATTCAGAATTCCGAGGAAAAAGAAAAATAAAAGAAAAAGAAAAGCCCCAAAGGCTATGAAACAAGAACAAGGGTTGAGAATGAATTTTACCGGAAGGAAGATCCACAAATCGGCCTGCCTGTTCTGCTCTTCCTGCTGGTCTATAAGAATAGAGGGTTCTGCGAAGGGTTTTACGATTTTAACTATAGCGTTAGGATTTAAGGCTGTCGTCGAAGTCCTTGAAGGTTTACCTTAATTCGTTTTCTACCCCCAATTTTAAATTTTCTTATCAAGTTACCTCTTTCAATTAATCTCTGGATTAATATTGACAAAATTTTTTTTTTTATTCTTGTAGCTAATTATCTTTTAGTATTTTCTAGTTTATTGTGTACAGAAGAATGGGAGGCAGATGGGCGTGTCCCTGAGATTGCAAAAAACTCAATTGCCATCTCGAAAAAAATTTTAAGATTATTATTTGTATTATGAAGTTAAGAATTTTTTACCAAAGAAAAAAACTTCGATATTAAATTAGTGTCATCGCACATTCTACTTTTGTTGCCCAAAAATTTCAAAAAAGTTATTTACAATCATAAGTTTTTACGTTGACAAAAAAATAATTTGATATAATGTTCTTATTTCTCAAATATGAGACAACAGTTCTCAAGACTCAACTTAATTGATAAGAATAATGGTTAAATGACCGTGAAATCTCTAGTTAGCTTAGATAAGGACCTTTTTTTGAGGTAAAAGAAAGCTAATTATAGATATATAAAATAATTTGAATTCTCAAACAAAAATTTTAAGTCGCAAGAAAATATGAATGCTATGAAAATATAACCATTTTCCATGATTGGAACAGTATATCATGAGACGTAAGTTTATACTACATCCAAAAGACTGGAAAATGACTAAACGCACTTGGGTCAAAAAATCTGCTTGCTTGACTAGAAGGGTTCTTGCTAAAATGAATAATTTGAAGCCAATTAAAACTTATTTATTCATAAAATTTATTAACTGTTTAATTAGTATCTTGTAATTGTTCCGTCTCATGTTCTCTTTTTTGGTACTGGATAAAATTTTTGTTTTTGTCATTTCAGGAATTTTCAGGGATGTTCTTATAATTATTTCTATTTTTTACATTCATACATGAGATATATTTATATATGGCCTTTAGTAAGTATTCTCAGTAGGCCATCAAAAGTTAGCAAGAGCTAATTAGCCTCGACGAAAGGATTCTTCATTATTTCTTCTAGCTGTTAGAAATACAGTCGATGGAGATGAGGCTTTAAGTTTGACAAAAGCATCATGAAGTGCATATTATACACATTAGCTAGGCAAAACCGCAAAAGTTGATATGTACAATGTGATCGTGATGGTTGTGAAGAGTCGAATTCCGGATGATTGAACCAAAGCGAAGGGATTCACCTATCAAATCTGCACAAAGAGTGCGGGCTTGGTCCCTCGGTCCCACTCCAACGATCAAGTTAGTTCGAGTACCCAATTGCAAAATAAAAGCAAAGGTCTTAGTCTTTCTAGTATGTGTGTGAGTGAGAGTATATATGTGTGTATAGAAGGGTATTTATAGTAGATAATATGGTGAAAAGAATGATAAGCTCCGGTTCTCGTGGGCCTTAGGGACTGATAGTGTCAGATTTAAGCCTAATGGAAGGGACATAGCAATGGCCATATCACTGTCATGTCATTCTGTCATGCACAAGTCAGCCTTTTCAGTGATACGTCAGATGTCAGATAGGAGGCCGACCGAGGTGAAGCCACATCGGAGAGACTGAGGCCGGCCCAGAGGACGAGGCAACGAGCCGAGGTGGCACGGGACTCGCGGAGGTCACCTCGCTCTGTCGCGAAACCGAGGAGGGACGAGGTGAACGCCCTCGGGTTGCAAGTTGATTTAGTTTGCCTTTGGTCACTTGGCTGGGGTGTTGTTGTGGCAGGAGTGGCTTCAGGTGTAGAGGATGTAGAAGGGCTCAAAGAGATGGTGGTGTCAACCTGAGTCTGTGTTGCTGAGCCAGCTGATTCTTCTTCAATCTTTGCATTTAGTTTTTGTTGGGGTAATGGAGGCCGTGGCGGTGATGCTTCATGTTCATTTGCTGGAACTGGTAGTAGTGCTCCTTCAGTTGGTAGGCGCGCTGTTATGTTGTACTTTGTTACCATATTATTTCCGAGAGGATGAGTAAATTTCCTCACTTGGAGGCAGTCGATTTCTTTTCCATGTCTTTTGCTGACATTAACCACATCTGGTTGTTGATTCCGTGACAGATTTTATTTCAACAATTGAATGAAGTTATAAAATTGATGGGGAAAATTTTTGACTGTAATAATATATCCTTTTGTGTCATCAGTAGTTATCATCTGCACTAATCTGTAGTGTCTGATGGGCAAAATTGGTACGTAAAGATCTATATGAATGTTCTTGATAGTCTAATGAAAAGATGAAAAAGTGCAGGAAGCCACTGCATAGGAAAAAGTGCAGCGCACCATTTGATCTGTGAAGACAATTCAAGAAGGCAACCTTTGGCTTTGATAACCAATTAGTCACTCAGGGGCAAAATTGGTACTTAAGGATGTATTATTGGTCAGTATGCAATCCACAAACAAATTCTAGCCACAAATGTCTCCAACGGGCACCGCTTCACTCTTTGCAGAGGCAGGCGAAATTAGTATTACCCACCTATTGAAGGTGTTGATAGGGGACGAAATCAACTGTTCCTAACTTCATTCCTGCCTTTATATTTCTCAGGGATGTAATCACCATTTCCATGGTACTTTGATATAGTATTGTCAGCTTTTCTTTTGGTTCTTTTCCATATCCAAGTTTTTGCAAGCATCTTTCCAAGTCCACCTTGTATCACAGAAAAATTCTATGGCCCCAGATATTCTCGTGTGTTTTTCTTTTCTATGTCCAAGTTTTTGAAAGCTCTCATGTCTATTGTAATACCTCAGCCACCTTAACTAAGAAAACATCTTGGTTAGCCTGGACCAAAGGATACTTCGGTCCAATTGCCCCTCACCAAGAATTCATCTCGGGATGGCTTATTTACCTGAGGTATCAAAAGTTTCGACTCGTCACTATGATGTGACTGGTGATTGATATGATTGATGTGACAATCAGCCACTCTATGATTCAGTCCTACTACTGATATCGCTGTCATGTCTTATCTTACGAGACTAAACTAACAGTAAATCTCATCATTCTACTACCTATCTTTTCTAATATAAATACCAGCACCTTATTCACTTGAAAAGGTAGGTAACCTAAATCACTCAATATAACTCCTAGCAACTTCTGACTTGAGCATCGGAGTGAAACTAGGGATCATAGCCCTAGCCACTTCTTGTTTTGCATGTGAGCTCATTTGGCGAATATGGACTGTATTATAATATGGACATGATGGCAAATATGGACTGTATTATAATCTAACAAAATTAGTCAGTAAAAATCTTCAAATTCTACATAACTGAAAAACCTGTCCAACTTATTCACCATGCTCAAAATCAGAGTTCACTGATTACTTGCCCAATGGTGTGATTCAATATAGGCAGTCAAATTGATATATATTTAATTTACTTAGAATTTTCACCAAATTCCTATTCCATTAACAGGCATATTTTTACAACTGCAAATTATCCAAAAATGTTATGAATCCCATAATACGAACGACGAAGGTATCAATTCTTTATGACCACGCTGAAGATGAAACCATTATTAAATATCGAATTCCAAGTACAGAGCATTTCACATCACAGAGTTCAGAAAAAAAAAAGGAATGAAATACGTTTACAGCAGAATAGAATTTTACTCATCCTCTATCCTCTATAAATAGAAGGGTAATTAGAAACCCTACAATCCAACATGAGACTAAAACATCCTTAAGATGACAGAACTCTTAAACTGATGATAACGCAGCTGATTCTGGCCCTAAACCCTGAATTTGTATCAACATATCCATCTCATATGTAAAATGTTCAAGTCCATTGATTATAAAGGGTACTTATACATTAGATAACAAATATTACCTTGGAAGAAAACACAAAGCAGTATCAAATTAAGATCAAGAGACAATTATAACCAAATTAAAGGAAAAACTGAGAGAGGATTCTTAAGAGCCACACGCCCGTAGCCATTGAAATTGCACTTGCTATTTTCAAGATAAACACCAATTTCCAGGAATGGTATCGAATAACCATCCGCAGCCGTGTCCAAGACCACAACAGATGCTCTAATGTTCTTGAATGAAAGAAAATAATAGCTACAAAACGAATTATTTCATCCAATTCTACCAACTGCTGCTTTTACCTATACAACATGACAAATCACTAGATTTCTTGTTATCAACATAGTTATCATTTAGCCAATGGCCTATGTACATTGCTAAAAGGGATGCGTAAACTACTGGGGCAGAACATGTACCAACATCAGAACTAGTCTCAAATTTAATTGGTCACTTCTTTCAGTAGCTTATTCATCACAATGGATCCTTCTCACCCTAACACGCTCTCCATTGAAGTGGATATACTTCCATTTACCTTGGTAGCGATCAAGAACTAGTTTCTTTTTGTCTACTTGACCTAATGTTCCAAATGCACGTGCAATCTTTCTTAGAGAATCTTCATCTGGCTTGATCCCCAACTCTTCCATGTCCGCGAATACCTGAAATTTAGCATGCAAGGATTGTGAAATGTTCTTAAGTTTGCACAATTTCATAAAAGACCATAATGCAAGACAAAAAAGAAGAAGTTACGAAATCAGTTCCCCTTAACAAAAGTGGAAGAGAGGCACCAGAGGGGTTTACCTCAATAACCTTGTCTGGCATATTGTGATGATCATACAAGGATATCATCCTAGAAAATAGCTTCTTAGAGGTAGAGCGGGTATGAATGTGCAAAATCATATTCCATAGTCTTTCAGCTTCGTCTATCCTGCAATCCATATCAAATGCCAACAGAAGGGAGTCATATGTTGTCATGGTTGTCCCTTGGCCTTTGCTAAGCATCCACTTGGCAAACTGAGTAACAAAGATCTTGTTAGATGCAGGTGGTCTATCTAAATAATCACATAACAACATACTGATGTAGGCATCATTGCATAGTGAAACAAAATGAATCAAGAGTACCAATAGGCCACTTCATCAATTTTTGTATTTTTGCACATAAAAACATGCAGTATGCGTGAATTAAGACAAAAAAGCTATTCAACCATTTCATTATTCTTCAACGCATTATAAATGTAACATGTTTCAGTCCCATCAAGAGCTAAAGACCAAGAAAGCTAATCCAGCACTCAAAGTGTTTAACTCTGCAATTCATTATTTCTGTAAACAAACTTATAATACATATCATACATATATGGAACACCCGATACTTAAATTTAGTGACATCTAAAAAGTTCCATCATCATTTCAATGTCTATTTCCAGATGAAAAAGGAAACATGATTGCTAATACCATGATATTGAAAAGAAAGTTTCTTGGACATGCAATTGAAGTAAAGAGATATCTTGGAAAGCAAATGGTGCCCTTACTATTGCATTCTTAAGCATAATTCGACTAAAATCCACATATAGATTAACTTTATGTTGAAAATATCCCAAGAAAAAAATACTAATAGCAGTCGTTCTCATTGTCTGCATTTGACTTAAGACAAAGACAAGCTCTCTACATATTTGTTTGTGCCCATGGCCATATGCTTGCATGTGTGTGTGTGTGTGTGAGAGAGAGAGAGAGAGAGAGAGAGAGAGAGAGAGAGATTTCCTAGACTTAGCAAGCAAATGTCATTCAATACCAGAGCTGCATAAAGCAAGGTCAGCACTCACAACCATGCAAGTTCAGCAGCTAAAGATATCCAAAAACCTTACAAGCACCGTACTTGTATTACTCTAACCCATTGACTCTTTTTCCTTAAGATTCTTAGCGCCTTAGCTGCAGCAATCAAAGGAAACTCTGCCTCCCAAGCTATCCATTTATCCAGTGCACCATACACAGCCTCTTTTTCATTTGGAAGTCCAGAAATCTGCCAAGTTGAGTTTTGTCTTAAGATAGAAATCAAAGCCAAATAATCACAGAAAACCACTGTATTTATAGGGAAAATTTTTCATTAGAACAAAACAATAGGTCCTCATCCTTCAATCATGCAAAACAAAGAACTTAACTCTTCAAAAAGTGAAAGATATAACCTATTTAAGAACAACCAAAAGAAAACCACACATACATTTCGAACAAGATTTAGTGCTTTCTGGCCAGACCTAGCAGAATCTCTTTTCTGCCACAAGTGATGTTCTTTCTTCCCCATCTTTCTGACCATTTTTGTGGATTTCCTGCTAATGAAGTTACAATGAGATTTAACTTCCATTCATATAGATGAGCCGCAGCATAAGCCTGAACTGACATCCAAGCAGAAGGAAAAAAACAAAGTGTTGAACATAGAAAGACCAATGAAAGAGAACCATACAAAGTAATTAATTTGATTGGAACAATACGGCTACCTGTCAAATGATCCATATTCACATACATCTTCAGGAGAATTTGTGTCATTGACAACGGTTCTTCTTGCCTACACTCCACAAAGGACATAGACATAGAAGCTTGAATACTTAATATGCACTGAGTAGAAATATCCCTTACATTTGTTCATTCATGAAATAAGCAATAAACATAATCTATCTAGCTTACCTTTTCAGCACAGGTAATTACACTTGAGACCTCCTGCATAGAAAAGAAACTACAATTCACGAATTTGAAATGTAAGAGAGGATTCACTCTGGTGCTCCACATCTGGGGAAAAAAGTTTTTCATATCAGCAAGTAGAACAATAAAGTATCAAGCAGGAAACCCAAAGCTCAAAGCTAACCTCCTTGGGCCTATGTAAGGGTAACTGAACAGGAACTTGAATCGTACAAGAAACGGGACTCTTCATAATTCTGCTTTTCCAATTTCCAGCAATTTCATGGAAGGAAAAAACACCATAAACGAGCCACTTCGGGAGGAACCTTGATTCTTCTAGTCTCAACAAGATGCCCTCATTGAGAAGAAGTCCTATTCAACAGAATCTATAACACAAATGGGCGTGGGCAATACTTCAAGGAAAGCTTAGTACTAAACCTGAAATTGCTCAATTGTTTGTTAAAGACTCAGAATTCAGGAAGAATGACTCGAAAAGGAAGTATGCAACAAATAGTAGACGTATATCTTGATGAACAACAAACAGCTCAAACAACAGACAATCCGCAAGCAAACTGACTACACTTAGACCACAGGCCTTGATTCAAGTTCATATCTTGATGCAATAAAACCATTAGCAACAAACCATTTCACACCCCCCTATGTCCATAGTATTGCGACAACCTCATTTATGTAGCGAGGAATGTAAACCAACATTCACACAGATAGTCATATATCTTTAAAACCAATCATGATATGGTAAGACAAAGAACTTGTATCCATCTCTTATAGCAATTCAACTGCTCACTGTTCTTAATCAATTAAAACCAAAACAAAAAATCTAAAAGCTACAAACTTTCCTTAAGTAATGATGTTAAAAAATTATCCAATAGTTTCCAGGATATATATCTAAACAAATGCATGGAGGCCAACCCCAACTTTTACTTTCTCATCTTAAGTTTTGCATTCTCGAAAAAGGGAAAAAAAAAGAAAAACCCAAGAATTGCCCATTACTAGTTAATGAACAAATAAACTATTGAAGTGAAAATCAAAGCAAAACATTTTCCTAGGAAATGGTTATTCATCAACATATATGATACCTAAACCATCTCCCACCAACCCAACCCACCCAAAACCCCTCATCCGCACAGCAGAAATAGAAAAACCCACATCTTTAAAACACCAAATTTTCATCATTATAAGCAAATAATAGCACAAAATTTTGAGAATCAACAATATATATGAAAATGTACATAGAAATTGAACGATCGAAGAGCAGAGTATTGAACTGCAACTTACCCCAAACAAGTAGTCCTACTAGAAGCTGAAAGCCTGTTGTTTTTGAGCTTCAATTGGAGGTTTATCTGGAAAGACTGCAGGAATTGAAGAAAAAATCAATACTCTGTTTTTAGCGTCCCCCCTATCCATGTCCACGTGTTCCCCCTATCCACCACCCATGTGTCTGCCCCGTCTTTGTCATTACCTTTGGCAATAACCAGAATCTAAAGTATGGTACTGGTAAATGTTCCAGCAGCACATAAAGTTCCGTCACAAATAGTCACATAACTACGAAGTCATTCAACAATTTCAGAATAACCATTTCCAGCATTTTGGCCATAAAATTCAGAAAACTCACCATTATTTGGACACTAAATGCAGCAATTAATGTCAGAAAACTTATAACCAACTGCAGAGATTTAGAACTGATTCCCAGCTCATGCAGCAGCATATCTCAGAAAGGTAGAACGGAAAAGTAAAAGGAGACAAAGGAGAAGATTCACAATTTGCATAACAAGATAAAAATTAGAGGAGATGGACGAAGAAGAGGGACAGGAGGACAAGCAGCCAAAGAGAGCATCTTCAGTAGTTTTTGATTCAAGACAGGAGATCGAACATTTCTCCCTTTCCGCTTAAGTCAAGATGATGCAGTTCAATTATTCACAATAGCTCCTCTCCCTTTTTTTTTTTTGGTGCTCCAGTGGAGGACTATAGGTCCCCTGCGTGATGTGGGTATGCCACCTAAATTACATCAGCTAACAGGATTTGCTTAAGATGAGTAGAAGGTTCCGGACATACTTGTAAACCTAGCTGACTATTAAGATTTTGCTTTGCTAACCAATCAGCAGCCATGTTCGTTTCTCTCCTGCAATGCTCCATCTTACACTCCCACACTTGGTTTATCCAGTGTCTGATTGATTCACCTACCAATTGTATAAAGTGAGTCCAATGGTAGGTGATTGATTCACCTACCAATTGTATCCCAACTTGTGAGTCCAACGCCAGAGTAATCTTTTTGTATCCCATATTCCATGCCATGGAGTCTCCGTAGTTCATCCCCCAAAATTCTGCCACCACATTGCTTTTTTATCCAGATTAGCCATAAAGCCTGATAGATAACAGTCTTGTTCATCCCTAATCACTCCACCCATTCCGGCATTTCCAGGGTTGTATGAAGAGGCCCCATCAACATTTCTCTTCACCTATCCGATTTGAGGTTTTCTCCATCCCACAAGACAGGTTTGTTAGGGTGGCTTCACCGCTGATTTAACCAAGGCACAGTAGCTCTTTATATGGTTGCCAATCAATGCATACAACTAGTACAAATAGCTAGCTACATCAAAGGCTCAATAAAAATAACTAAATGAATTAACGGCAGCATTTTTGAAAACACAAAACTTCAAAATACTTCCAGGCATGCTCCAGAAAAAAAAAACTTCCAGGCATTTAAGAGGAACGGAAACTGATCTATACTGCACAGATTTTGCGCAACAAACAAAATGCTATACTAAACCATTTTTTACTACTGGCGTCCAAGACATCAAATTTTACTGTTGCAACTATAAGATCAGTACCTATTGAACAAAAAGCTGGAAAAAAAAATGCATAGGCACTGCTCTTATCATCCTACAGTTACCAATCACAAAGTTAGGAAACTACAGTGACAAAAGTTAGCCACTTACGACTCCCAAATGGGACTTCCACAAAAGTCCAAGCAAATACATCCAGTATCACAAAAACCTTCTCCACTTATAGATCTCTAGCTTACAACGGTACCTTTTGATAAAAACTGCAACAAAATTTACACCATGAGTATTACGGGTATCATCCTACAACAAAAAATGACAACGTTTGTAAACTGCAACCAAAAAAGTAGCCACTTATGACCCCACAATACACTTCTGCAGAAATACAAGCAAATTCCTCCAGTAAGCTTTTCTTTAACTTACCATCAAGCATTCAACTTCCAAATTAACTTTTAAGCTTCTCTACTTAATGCAGCAAAATACTCGTCACAGATGGCCTCCCTTCTCGCGCCACAAACACCTTGATTCAAGAATGGAGCAGCTCCCCTGCTCTCTCACATTAGATACAACCACCTTGATCATGCTTAGTAATTCTGAATGAAAGAAAATGATGGAGCTCCAAGCTCATCAATCTATTAATTCATATTTTTACCTCCCAACACAATCTTATGCTCCTAATTTGTTTGATAAATGGCGAAAACATTAATCATTTTACTTCAATATCACAATGTAATATTTTTATGTCATGTAAGAATATCACAATCGAAATTATCAAAATATCCAAAATCAAGATGATCATAGAAAAAAAATTAATGAACCCAAAAAAAAAAGCCAAGCAACTAAAAGAACTATACAAAATAGATCATAATCAAGGGAAATGAAATTCAGCTTTCAGGGCCCAAATCAATTACATTCAAAATTCCGAGGAAAAAGAAAAATAAAAGAAAAAGAAAAGCCCGAAAGGCTATGAAACAACAAGAAGGGTTGAGAATGAATTTTACCGGAAGGAAGATCCTCAAATCAGCCTGACAGGTCTGCTCTTCTTGCTGGTCTATAAGAATAGAGGGTTCTGCGAAGGGTTTTACGATTTTAATTATGGCGTTAGGATTTAAGATTGTCGTCGAAGTCCTTGAAGGTTTACCTTAATTTGTTTTCTACCCCCAATTTTAATTTTTCTTATCAAGTTACCTCTTTCAATTAATCTCTGGATTAATATTGTAGCTAATTATTTTTTACTCTTTCCTATTTTATTGTGTACCGAAGAATGGACGCAGATGGGCGTGTCCCTAAGATTGCAAAAAACTCAATTGCCAATTTGTCAAAAAAAATTTGTTAAAATTTTTTTACCAGAGAAAAAACTTTTGATATTAAATTAGTGTTATCGCACATTCTATTTTTGTTACCCAAACAATCATAAGTTTTAGGCAGATGGGCATGTCCCTAAGATTGCAAAAAACTCAATTGGCATCTCGAAAAAATTTGTTAAAAATTTTTTACCAGAAAAAAAACTTTTGATATTGAATTAGTGTTATCGTACATTCTACTTTTGTTACCCAAACAATCATAAGTTTTTACATTGAAAAAAAAAATAATTTGATATAAAGCCCTTGTCAAATTTGAGACAACGGTTCTCAAGATCCAACTTAATTGATAAGAACATTGGTCAAATGATTGTGGGATCCCTAGTTAGCTTAGATAAGGACCTTTTTTCGAGGAAAAGGTAAACTAATTATAGATATATAAAATAATTTGAATTCTCAAAAAAAAAAAAAGGGTTAAGTCGCACGAAAATGTGGATGCTATGAAAATATAACCATTTTCCATGATTGGAATAGTATATCATGAGGCGTAAGTTTATACTACATCCAAAAGAATGGAAAATGACTAAACGCACTTGGGTCAAAAATCTGCTTGCTTGGCTAGAAGGGTTCTTGCTTAAATGAATAATTTGAAGCCAATTAAAACTTTTTTATTCATAAAATTTATTGATTGTCTAATTAGTATCCTGTAATTGTTTCGTCTCTTACTCTCTTTTTTGGTACTGGATAAAATTTATGTTTTTGTCATTTATGTAATCACCATATCCATGGTACTTTGATATAGTATTGTATGTTTTTCTTTTGGTTCTTTTCCATATCCATGTTTTTGCAAGCATTTTTCCAAGTCCACCTTATATCACAGAAAAATTCTATGGCCCCGGATATTCTTGTATGTTTTTCTTTTTCATGTCCAAGTTTTTAAAAGTTCTCATGTCTACTATGATTACCTCAGTCACATTAACTAAGAAAACATCTCGGTTAGCCTGGACCAGAGGATACCTTGGCCTAATCGCCCCTCACCGAGAATTAATCTAGGGATGGCTTATTTACCTGAGGTATCAAAAGTTTCAGCTCGTCACTATGATGTGACTGGTGATTGATGTGATTGATGTGACAATCTATGATTCAATCCTACAATTGATATTACTGTCATATCTTATTTTACGAGATTAGACTAACAGTAGATCTCATCATTCTATTACCTATCTTTTCTAGTATAAATATCAACACCTTACTCACTTGGAAAGATAGGTAATCCAAACCACTCAATATAACTCCCGACAACTTCTGACTTATGCATTGGAGTGAAACTGGCAACATAGTCTCAGCCACTTTTTGTTTTGCAGGTGAGCTCATCTAGCGATGACCTCAACTCAGGTCACTAGTTTTCACCTGTACATGCATCTTGTATTATAGGAGAATTTTATGGTTCCTTTAGAGTATTATTCCTTGAACTTGTATCTTTTAATGGAAATAGCAGCTTCTATATTAAATCATTGAAATTATTAAGATCTAAGAATTAAAAACAATTATTTCACCATCTCACGGTGAATTTAACTTGATGACATGATGGCAAATATGGACTGTATTATAATCTAACAAAATTAGTCAGTAAAAATCTTCAAATTCTACATAACTGAAAAACCTGTCCAACTTATTCACCATGCTCAAAATCAGAATTCACTGATTACTTTCCCAATGGTGTGATTCAATATAGGCAGTCAAATTTATATATATTTAATTTACTTAAAATTTTCACCAAATTCCTATTCCATTATCATGCATATTTTTACAACTGCAAATTATCCAAAAATGTTACGAATCCTATAATACGAACGACGAAGGTATCAGTTCCTTACGACCACGCCGAAGATGAAACATTAAGGGATAATTTCACAAACCTCCCTTGAGCTTTCTCATAATTACAAAGGGCTCCTCTCAGATTTTAAAAATTACATATTCTCTCCTACTTTTATTATTTAGTAACAATGTAGGTCCAATAACTTAGCGTTTCTTTCAAGAATCCTAAATTGCCCTTTTGTACCAAACTAAGAAACAAAAATATTATATACTCAATCATTTTCTTCCACACTTTGCATAAATCAACATTTTCTTCCACACTTTGCATAAATCAACAAGCCAAATCCTTAACAATCATCCAAGTATAAGTTCTAAAATCAAGTAGCCATCCAAAAAATCCTAAATTACATATACAATATGAATACTTATCACGATTAAAAAAACACACAAAAACCCCATTGACAACTAATTTTATACCCCTAAATTAAATACCAATGCTCAAATACCTCTTCAATATAAACTAATTTGACCTAGAACCACTATTACAACTCTCCGATGCCCTTAAAAATATTACTAATATCTTAAAAGTAGAGAATAAATTATACTTCCACAATAAAATCATAATAAAAAATTTCTAATCCGATGAAAGAAATCATTATGTAATTATTGACATTTTATAAAAGTTTTTCTTAACAACAAACAAAATATGAATAATTCCACATCTTTAGTTCTTTTTTCTATTTCAATCATCTATTTCATTATTTATTTCTCTATCACTGTGAGTCTCTTCATTTCTTCTAGTATGACACATAATCTACTCTCTTTGTAGATTTTGTAATTTCAATTTGTTAATATCCACAAAACTAAAGATAATAAAAAGAGGGGATAATTTCAGAAACCTCCCTTGAGGTTTCTAGTAATTTCAGAAAGCTCCCCTCACGATTTGAAAATTATACATACCTCCCCTAGAACATGGGTTTGGATTTCAACTTGATGATGTAAGACCAAAAAAGTATATGAATGCCCAAAATTGCTCTCATCTAAATTTCCTTAATATGAATAATCATTAAAATTTTTTAAAAGTCAAGAATACACTTGTGTACTACCAAAATTATGAGCTTTATTACTTAACCAATGTCTTGATATTTTTTATCCTCATGATTTTCTACATCCACCAAAACTTTCAAACTCTTATCATTTTTCTTCTTTCGAACAAACTCTTTGTCTTAGATGCCAAAATCCATTGTTGTAATTCTTACTTTCACAATTTTACCTCTCTATAGGTTTCTTGCATATGTTGTCTACTAAACCATTAGTCATAAAACTCACAATCCTTACCTTTTTCCCGCTCAAATGGCCAAACCCTTACTTACCAAAATTTTTCTAACCTCTGCTATCAACATTTGGGTTGGCCATCCTATATTAGCCCACATTTTTTTTTATCTGAACCGAGACGATTTTATTGAGAACAAGTTTGATGTCTATTAAAAGAGGAACCAGGCAAAACATCAACAAAATGCAAGTTTGGGGTAGTACTTTTAGTACAGTCTATCAAATTATATTTTTCCGTAATCCAATAGTTTTTTTGTACTCAATGATATGAAGAATTGGGTTGTTGGCCGTGATGATTGCTTCTATCATCATCAATAGCAGTAGCATATTTGAGTGATAGAGGGAAGAAAACATCTACCTTGATTAGCATATTAAGTGATAGAAGGTTACAATTTAATGGCCACGACTGAAATAGTTTGGCCATAATATATGGCCTGGTCAAGAAGAATTGTTTTCCTTTTTTCATTTTCCTTTTTTCTGTTATTTTTTCCCTTTTTATCAATGGCTTGTCTTTTAAAAAATTATGAAGGTTATTATAGTCATTGTCTTTCATCAAGGGAGGTAATTGTAATATTGAAAACCTCAAGGGAACTCAGTGAAATTGTCAAAAACCTCAGAGGAGGTTTCTGAAATTATCTCTAAAAAAAGGTTATATTAATTAGAAAATAGACAAGAGACAGAAAAATAGATTTTTTTTAGGTTTTGAAAATTTATTGTCTTAAATTTAAAATTGTCTACTAAGTGGAGGGCATTATAGATATTTTACTATATCAAGGGGTAAGTGTAGTTTCTTAAATCTAAGGGGAACCGAGTGAAATTGTCAAAAACCTCAAGGGAGGTTTTTGAAATTATCCCTATAAGAAAAAAAAAAAAGTGCTAATGTACCAAATTAAAATACTTGTAAAAATGTGAAAGGCAAATGCGGTCCCCAAGTCCAATGGCTCACCATGGGTAGCGCACAATACTCACCCAATTGATGATAGGAAAGAAACCATCCAAAATCTAAACCCTCATTAGCCCAAGCTCAAGTAACCACAACTTATTGGCCTACCGAATTTATTTTGCTAATATTTAGATCGGATGTGCAAACTTTTGGTTGTCTTCCTTGACTCCTTGGAAGCCTTTTAGATGTTACCAGAAAAAAAAAGTTCCATGATCATCGGTACACATATTTTAAGCAATTTAAGTTGATCAAGACAGCTTAGTTACCAAAATGTATGCTTGCAATCGTGCTTTAATTTTAGATTGATCTCTTAGGAGGGATCATGACTTTGGAGATAAAAAAAATGGATCTAGGAC